CTTTTGAGTTGCCTTACTGACATAAATGAACATTTGCACGATATTCTAATTTTTCGAGTTTCACCTGTATCTTGTGGGTGGTATAGAGATGTTCTATAAGATACAGGATTGTGGTTTAAATGTTTTGTATTCAAAGAAACAAATTCTCATACATTTTTACACTATTCTAAATTTTAATAATTCCAACAAGAGCAAAGCCTTTGAAAGCTCTGTGTGTGTGTGTGTGTGTGTAATTATTTGTTTCAATAAAATGTGTTGAGTGCTATTGTATGCAGTATGTCATTAATTTTATGAAACAGTGCATTTTGAGAAACAGAAGTAAAATTTGGCTCTCATCAATCATGAGGGGAAATCTCAAGGCCCATCAGTTTAAGATGTTTGAAGATTAGATTTTGTTATGTGCTCTCATAACATTAGTGCAGAGAAGGTAAAGATAATTGCAACATTTTACCAGTATGCCTTTTGAGTAGATGATAAGAATTTCTTTAGGAGTATGCACTATAGTTTTTGGCTAGAATAGAGTTGCATTTTAATTACTTTATCTTAGTACAGAATTATAATAACAGAGGATGTTGGTCACCCTAGTTGTGTTGGATTATATTATCATGGGATGATTTAATACTAGATACCTAGTAGTAAATTTTTCTTGTAGTTCACCCTTGTAAAAGTAATGGATATAAACTGGCAATTGAGTGGAACATTTATATTATATAGCAGGCATTTTGATTTTGTGTTGCTTGAAGAACTGAGGCTGGACAAACAGAAATAGTTTGAGAATTGCCTGATACTTTTATTTTTGTGCAGCTGTTGGCATACCCAATTCTAAGTAATATAGAGTTTTATTAATTGGCTCAGGGAGTGAGTAGGCTCAACAAATTACTAACGGGTGCACTTAGTGCTTTCTTGCCAACCATAGCTTGGCTGCAACCATCACTACAGTAATGCCATGATTTATCTTTCCCATTCATAACACAACTTTGCATAGATATATAAAAATATTCTATTGTCAGAGGTGGCTACTGTGGTGCAGAGTCCTTTACTGTACCCTTTTTCTTTCATGCTATTAACTGTTGCATAGGCAAACCCCACATGACTATTCCTAGTATTTAATACTTTTTTATAGTTAAGTGCCTCAGCAAAGAACAACTTATGGACTGTAGTTTCATCTGTTTTCCAAATTGAGGTCTCATTAGTGAAGTTGAAGTACAAAATAGGGGCGATACTTCATTAAAATGTGATTTAGAGAGAGACATTTGGAATCAAAGATGTCTTGCTTGAGCAGAAGTACCTTTTCAGTGGTATAAGTTCTTCTACAAATTCTGCAGTTCTCCTATCCATTGTAGCTGTCTCATATTTCATCTCATAGGCTCAGGAATAGAAAAAGATTTTGGCGGAGAGCTAAAGTAGAAGTAAGGAAAACTTATTTATGTCAACAAAACTCTTCTCATTTCTTTCATTCCAATCCATAGACTAAGTGACTTACAGTAATGATCGTATACAGTTAAAATATTTTATAAAAATATATAATGTTCAATTTTACAGATGCCTTTGTAAATAGCCAGGAATGGACACTAAGTCGATCAGTGCCCGAGCTAAAAGTGGTAAGTAATTTCTCAGTATGTATATTTAATGCCTGTGGGTAGTTTAGATGAAAGAAATGATTTGTTTCTTTCAGCTCTTCAAATATTCTGTATCCTTAGATTGCAAAATGGGATGTGCAATGTATTAAATTTTCAGTTAAGTCAAATAGACAGATGGAAATATTTATTTTGGCTAAAAGGGTACTTATTAGTTGTGTTCTCTTACATTTGCTCTTTGTGGATTTCAGGCATAATGTAGAGGTGCCCTAGCTCATGATGTTGGTAGAGTACTGAAACTTGGAAGTACTCTGTGTATGTGTGTGTGTGTGTGTGTGTATGTATATTATGTATAATACTGGTTTTGTGTGTTCTTTGTTTGGATTATTGAGCATGTCAACACCTTCAAATTCTAGATAAATTCTTAATTCTGCTGGATATTTGTTCGTTGTTAAGATCCACATCTTTCCAGTAATATTTGGATTGGCTTGAGGAAAGAATGAAAAAGATTGGTTTAAGCCTCCCTCCCATTTTAAATAAGGTCCTAATAGTTTCCTGTTCGAAGGAGGATTAGGCTTGTTAACCTGATCCAAAGAAAGTTCACTGGATATCCACATTTTTAATCATAGTATCAAAAAAATTCAGTGTTTTTATTTTTGATTGTAGAGCTTTTTACTTAACAATGGGCTATGTGAAACATTAAAGCTTAGTTGTCAATGCTGGTTTATTTTATGGGAAGAGACCTTTAAGAAATACTATTAAGCCAAGTGATGGTGGAATAAATAAGATAATATGAAGTTAGAATAGGTTTGAAAAATCATTACTAATTTGGGGCTTGGTTAGGGGTATAAACTTGAATAAATAGATAAGTTATTTTAGACAAAGGCAATACTTATCATTAACATAAAAAAGAATCAAAAGGGATAGTGGTAGTTTTGTACAAAATATATTTAAGTGTAAACATTTTGCTTTCTCTCATATAAGCTTTTAGGTAAGTCATCATTCTTCATTATTATTCTGCAGCAGAGCCAACTATATATCTGCTGAACACCCTAAAATGGATTACCTTTTGAAGGCAAGGATAGGATTTAAAAAAAAAAATTTTTTTTCATTTTAAACATTCTGTAAGACAAAAAAGGAACAGGAATACAAGATAACATCTAAGAATAGCATATCTCAAAATTCATTTCTAGATCCCATAATCACTACCTATTATTATTAACATATTTATAATCTTTCTGGATCCAATAAAAATGTGATTTTTCCCTCTGTGAATTTAATATTCAGATTTTATCAGTGACGTCTTCAAAAGCAGCAATTGACCCTACCTTAGCACTCTCTTTGTCCAATAATAAATTATATAAGAATTTTCACCTTTGAGTAATTATTGATTTGGCAACTAGGAATAAAAATACAGTAAGTTCCTTTTTGTTTAACTTAACAGTAACCTCCTTGAAAATATGAAATAATCTCAATACTGGAATGCATTTTTTGTTTATATTCTGATTTCTTTAAATACTTTCTTCCAGAAAGGGACAACCCGTTTGCAAGTCCACCTCATAGGAAAAAGTGTTCCCTTCTGAATACAGGTAGTCCTCGTTTAGCAAATGCCTCATTCAGCAACCATTTACAGTTAAAACGGTGATGAAAAAGTAACTTTGTAATTAATCCTTGCATTTATGACCTTCTCAGGTCTGTAAAGCAAAGGAAAGCTGAAGTAAGATCATAAAATCATGATGTTTCACTTAGCAACCGCTTCGCCTAGTTGCCAGTCCCAGTTGTGGTCACTAAACAAGGACTACCTGTATAGCCCATCCAACATTTTGAAGAGTAACTATGAGATATTTACACTGTTCTAATTGGAGTTAAATGCTAGTGGTGTACTATTAGTTTTTGAGATTGTTCTTTTAAGTTGGGGAGGATGATTAATTGGCAGAATTGGGGTGCCTTGGGCTAAAGAATAAAAGCGGCAGAACAACTGCATTTCTCCATGCAAAGCATACCCTGGATCCACAAAGAACCTAAATTCCAAAGGTCTCAAAGTACAGCTCCCATCAACTTATACAAGGAAAGGGTGGGCAGGTGAGATCTGGATGACTGAGATTTAGCTGGATTCATCTGAATTTCTTTCAAGGAAAAATGGTAGCCCAAATAGTCCAATAAAATAGATTAAAAGTGCATTTCTATATCTTAACTTGGAAGTTGAAGTAATACAGGTAGTCCCTGGGTTAAGAATGCCCGGGTTACAGATGACACATAGTTAAGAACAGAATCTATTGTAGCAAAATTTGAGTTAAATACACAATGATTTGAGTTAAATACACAGTGGTTTGAGTTCATTACACAATACTAT